TTAACACGACCCATACCCTTCTCCATCGAACCAACGGAAATCCTATATGAACCTGACTCATTTACAATATTAAGATTACACAATTATTATACATTCCACAAAGTGTTATCCATAAAATATAACACGGATCAAAATTTACTTGATACTTAAAATAACATATCATAAATAAAATAAATGTCTACTATGACAAACATGCATAAGACAATGTAGACATTAAGATGAATCTTTAAAAATTCAGGAATGTTAACTCAATCAAACCTATCCAAAAGAAATGATTGGGGAAACTAAATACTATAATTCTAATATTTATATGTGTTGGGTTATAAACAGAACATATCAGTAAAAATCTATAGCCAACCTTTTAATTAAAGGGTTAATGGGTACGGATTGTCAACGGGTAAATGAATCAAATATTTTGATCCAAATTCTTATAATTCTTATGAGTTTTTGATCGGATCAAGGTCCAAAAACCACTCTATTTCCAGGTCTAACCATGAATGCAATTTTTTAAAATCACAAAGATAAACTATTTCAAAAATTGAAACTTTGGACTAAAAATATAAATCGATGTAAACCATGTCAACCAAAACTATAATTTACTCCATTTTATATTAATTTGACCAAATTATATAAAAAATCTATCAGTTAAAGTACACAAGTGAACATGTTACTTAGGGTGGTAAGAGTAGAAACATCCAAATGCACTCAACTCATTGCCACATTAGTTTTTTCCTCTCTTATTTTTTTCCATCTTTCTCAATCCACAACACATGGAAATAACATCTTTCCCAACCTACTAAATTAAAAACATACAAAACAACATAGGATGCAAGCTTTTAAGCTCATGGTACGCGAGAGAGAGAGAGAGAGAGAGAGAGAGAGAGAGAGAGAGATGATCAAAAGGGTTACTCAGGCCGTTGAAGAGAGCAAATTGAGGTACCTCTATTGGAGGGACATTGATCTTAGAGGTACACCAATACATCCAACCCAAACACAAAAATACTCAATACTTCGTTCATATTTAGACCAGTCGGTACACCTCTTCCTGCATATTGCGGTAAGATGTGGTATGCGTAAACACCGCACCGAGCCCATCAAGAAAAGTGCGGTATACGATATGCGAGTCATGATTTTTCCGCATAGTTTTCCTTTTGCCCGTTTGAACACTAGTTGTTGGCTATTTTTTTAAAAAAATTCCTATACATTAAACTTTACTTCTCATTTTAAAATCACCAAGAAACACAAACTCTAGATTTTTCAAAAATCTTATTTCAAAATGGCTTCTTCTTCGTTGACTTCGTCCGCTACGTTGACGTTGCGAGAAGCAGGATTTATCGGGGACGTCATGCCTTGCTTATTTGCAAGAAAATGAAGGTGAAAGTTCGCGTCCAAAAACAAGAAATCCTCCTGTACGGAGAAATCGTGAAGTCAGGCACAACCAACAGGTGAACGAATACATTTCTGATGATGCAGTGTACGTGGAAAATTCAAGCATCGGTCCCGGAAGCGTAAGGTATTATGTTTATGCATTGTTGATGATATACAAAATCGTTTTCCATATTTTCGGCAGCAGGTTAATGGAAGAGGTAAAAAAGGTTTCTCCACAATCCAAAAATGTAAAACTACAATTCGTCTATTAACATTTAACATGGGATCGGACTTATGGGATGAGTATTTAAGGATATCAGAGCGCACGAAGCGGGATTATCTATACAATTTTGCTAAATTTATGATTATCCTCTATCGCAGTCGCTGTTTACGCAAGCCTATTATTAGCGACATCCATCAACTATATACAACACATGAAACAGCATGGGTTCCATGAAATGCTTGGTACTATTGGTTGTATCCATTGGGGTTGGGTAATGTGCCATAATGCGTGGTGTGGTCAATTTATGCGAGGTGATCAAAAGCAGCCGACAATAATTTTAGAAGCAGCGGCATCGTATGACCTTTGGATTTGACATGCATTTTTTGGTCCATCGGGTGCCAACAACGACATCAATGTTCTAGACCAATCGCCGATATTCAACGACATCTACTTTAGGAAATCATATGATGTGCCGTTTGTAGCAAATGGGACGTCATACAAGCGTGGATATTTCGTTACTGATGGAATATATCCCGGGTTAGCAGTATTTGTGAAAGCATTTACATGTTCGAACGGTGACAAGCGATTAAAGTTTAAGTCAGCACAAGATGTTGGCAGATACTCACAGTACTGGTACGATCTATGGATCATAGACAAACAAGTAGCCTGATGTACGCATGTATCATATTGCATAATATGATTTTAGAAGATGATGAGAGGGTGATTTGTTGCTACTATGAGAATGAGAATTTACCAAATGTCGATGGATTTTGATGATGTGTCGAGCGACGATGATTAGAAGTCACATATTATTCAACTATGTTTCGATTATGTTTTTTTAGCATGTATTTTGTTTAAGTAATAAAGTATTTTCTTTTTATTATTTTTAATTAATTACATTATTCAATTAAAAAAATAATAATAAAAGTATGGTATGACACTCACCAGTTTTGTGGGGTGAGACAAAAATGACGTGACAGTGCAAAAGTATGGTATGATACCTATCGACCTTATACGGAAAAACGTTTCCCAATTACATTCCCAATATAAAAAAAGCATATAAAAACGATGTCGTAGTCCCCGGTGCATGGAGCATTTAGCATGTTGCAATTGCCAAAGATTGCAAATAAAAACACCATACATTTGACGTGAATTATTTGTATGTAGTTTAATTTCTAACATTCTAATAAGATTCTTACGTACAATTAGAATGATTTTATACACATTAAAATTACATAAGTAACTGTGGGCATCTATAAATATAATAAAGACGATATTTAACATTGTTCTTACTTAAAAATGCATAAAAAATCGTGGGCATGAACATATTTAATCCAATGGGTATACAAAGTGCATTCTCGAAATTTATTATCATAAGAATTCTTTAATTTGTTAATTATATGTACAAATAACTAAAATACGAAAACATGAATAACCAAGCCAAACCAAAGTCGAACCTCTTTGATTGTTAGTTTCAGGGTTTTCTTGAAGGATGGTGTGAAAAGAAAATCAGTTCGATCAGTTTTTGTTCAATTACAGTTCGATTCAATCTAAGCTGATACGTGATGAATGGCCTTAAGCTATATAACATATTTGATACCACAACTTCGATAAAGCAAAAGCGAATTAAAAAGCAACTACAAGTAATAAAGGGTAATGTTTGCAAGTGGTTGAGTTGGTTGTAATGGATACAAAGCAAGTTGTCACACTCTTTCTTGTTTTCTCCACAACAATTTATGCAACTTGATGGTGTTAACAAGTGGTGTGGAGTTTGCCATATGCCCCTTAATTCTTTTATTTATTTTTTAATCTTATTTTGCTATTTTTATAATAAAAAAACTGATTAACAACAATTACCTAACTAACACTCAAAATACATTCGTTAAAGTACAAAATATTTATAAAAATAACACATGTTTGTAATAAAATAGGTATTGAAAAAAAAGATGAATTTATATCATAGCCTTTTAACATATAATCTTCAAACTCGAAAAATAATTATCAATAATAAATCGAATTTTTATATACCAAAAACATAAGTTAGATGAATAAAACTTGATGCTGATGTAACTTCTCAGTAAAATTTCATAAATTTATAACAACAATCGTTTATCATGCTTAAAATAGTTATTTCTTATAGCATAGTATATAAATATCAACACTAAAATTTATTCTACATACGTCCACGATAAGACTTGAACTCTTAACCTTAATGAGTGAGGACAACACATGTATTTAACCGGAAGAAAACATTTTTTAGGCTGAAAATAAAAAATATCAGATAAATTGAAGACAAAGTTGTCAAGATCGGGATTCTACGTAAGATCGTTTTCAAGTTTGCAAGATGAAGATCGTAAGATCGGGATCCTAAGATCCCACAAAAAAGGTAATTGATCATTTATAAAACTTTTTCCATATATCATGGTTAAATAGCTCAAAAGGTAATTGATAATGCAGTAGTTAATTCTATGGTTAAATAGCTTAAAAGAGTATTAAGACTAATTATTTATTATACAACACTAGTAACTTCCAACCTTCATATTATTTGCTTTAAATATTTAGCATGTTATTTTCTTTAACTATAAAGAAGAAATTACTAACAATTTCAACTTTTGAAACTTAAAAAAAAAAAAACAAAACTCTCTGGTAAAAGAGTTTGACCAGTAAAAGAAGAGAAACTATAAAAATGGTCACATATATTGTTGAGTTTGAACTATTGAAGGATGAAATTAATAACAACTAGAAAGGTTTCCCATGCTCCGCATGGGTCAGGGGTAGCCGTCATGACCATTTATACGAATTTGCAAGTTAAACCACAATTGGGCAATTGAAAGTAAACAGTAAATAAGAGGAAAGTTGTGAAAAGTTTTGACTTAATAGGGGAAGTATTAGTTCCTCGAACTTCCTTATTAAGACAAAAAGAAATACCAATATTGGTATTGATTAATTCTGGATCATTTTTATTTTTTTAGAATAAATAAAACGTTGAATTGGTACAACCGTATAAAAACCCGAATTTTACTTTATTGCAAACAATTACATCTGGTACATATAGTAAAAAACATGGAAACCTTGATTATCCCTAAAACCCGACATCATATAGCGATAAAAAACAGAACAGAGTGGTTCTTGCTCACCTGGCGATCAATAAGATAGCATACCAATTGCACAACATTGAAACATGCAAAAAAAAGGCCAACTTCAACATAAACAAATCGAATACAAAAAAAATATTAGTGTGTGTAAAAAAAGATGTGTGTAATAGTAACAAAATCACTTTATGACTTTTATAGACATTATATAGATTAAATCAACAACAAAATTCATAAAAATATAACTAAAAAATAATTAAAAATCTGATAACCAACAATTCAAATTACAATATTACCTTGATATCTAATAAGTTGAATCTCTGAAAGAATCAAGTCATTGTTATTCAATAATCTCTGTAGAGTGTTGCACATATGTCTGGAACTTTGGTTTCATCTATGTGAAGCTCATTCACCATATGTACTCATCTGACAAAGATCATGCGTTAATTTTGTTTACTATTAAACAAAATGTAACGATCAACAAAGTTTATGAATGTAAGTATTATGCAATACCTCTTGATGTTTTTGGTGAACTGTGATGATACCACAGTGCTTAGAGGATATACAAAATTGACATCGTGTGTAAATACAAATTCCACCAACTCCACTGGTTAAAGATTTTATTTTTATAGAAGAATGAAGAAGGTTTACCTCTTTGTACTTATTAGCAACGAATTTTGTCCGGATTCCAATGGACTTGTAACTGAGGAGCTTCCTTATGAGGCCAGTGAAGAATCAGATCCATTTAAGTTCGTAGTAAGCAGGTCCATCGTTGAGTAAATGACATGACTTTGTGTTCATTGATGCACCAATGTGAATTTCTAACCAGTGAGAACTGAATGAAAAAAGAAAAGCCATCATTAATAAGTGAAAATACCATTAAGAACATTGATAATATATGGACACGTAGGAAATATGATGACATAAATTGCAGCTAAGATTATCAATAAAAAGTAGAAAGCAAAAAAGGAAAATATCAGATTGAGATTTAATATATGGCTTAATTATAGTATTGAGGCGAAAACCCTCAATCAACATCTGTAATTCCTTGTCCATGTTAGTAAAAAATTAAAAGTACTTAAAGAAGAAAATCCAAATTAGAGAAGTAGTTCTTCTCTGTTCTTTCAATCAGTGTGTGAAAATACTATATAGCCATTCAAATTTTTAGGTATGTTTGTTCAGATACTGGTACCAATTGTTAGGAACTTAGCATAAAACATTAAACAGACGATTACTTGAACCCTCAGTCCACATTGCATCTAGAAATTGGTTATAAATCAAAAACATTAAGTCATCTGGACTTACAACTGCGTAATTATACCAATTCCTATAGCTGTTACCTTTTTAATACTAATATTGAATAATTCTTGCAGAGAATAAGATGAAGAAGAAGAAGAAGAAGAAGAAGAAGAAAGAAACCTGGATTCTGAAAATGGTGAGAGACCTTGCTTTGATCAAACTCTTTCTTCCTGAACCAACGACATATTCAACCTTGCACACCATTGATTCCCCATTGAAAGCGGTAATCGGTAACTTCAGAAGAGATTTGGGGAAAAAAATTGTATTTGTGGATAAAAGACGAATCAAATAGGCTTACTAACCGTGAAATCAGCGATCAAAAGGTGTTGTGGGTTCATACTCTAATGGTGACCCTGCATGGAAATCAAATGACAACATTAGAAAACAAAAACCCATGATAAAATGGCAACATATACAATTCATATCAGATGACACACACATACATACCATATCAGATATACATAGAGGCATAAAGAGCAGGTCACACATACATAATTCACTTCTTTTAACTGATATGAAGTATTCTCCATTTTTATTTCATATCTTTGTATGGTAAGTAGAAAATATAAATAAATAAATATATAAATGAATACTTTCTTCGTTTACATAATAAACTCAATTATCTTTTTTCTGCTTACTCAGTCAAATTATTGAATAAATGGCAAGATTTGGCTTCTTTAATCAAATAAACTTATTTTTTCCGAGTTAAAATTTGCATCATCTCAAGAATACATACCTTAGCATCAATCGTCAGTTGATTGTCAATCTTTTTCTGCTTGATCCCGCTGTCTTCCACCACGGCCAGTCTGTGAGCTCTTATCTGGGGTTGCATCCTGCTCCATGTTTGAAAATTTGTTAAAGTATTGGAGGTTTGCTTTTTGCCAAAATCGCCTTCCATAAGCATCTGCAACCTTACTAATCGTTTCAAATTGCAGAAATACTTTCTTTCCTAAAACTTTCACAACAAAAAAGTCAAACATTAGTCTATTTATCTCCTGAAAAAAAATTCAAGATTATCAACTAATTGTGAAACTTATCACACGTACGTTCATATAACGAAATTCTTTTTGACTCTTGACATAAAGTTGATCAAATTTCACATTATCATCACCACAAATGTAGAAGATCATGATTTTGGTTCACAAGATTTCCGCTAAAAGGTTTTTTAGACTTTTCCTAATCGCCATATGTTACATGCCTTAACCCCCTGAATACAAAACTTTTATCAAACACCTGGTGGGCAAATGTTTGAACATGTAATCAAAGTTATCATACCATTCCAAATTGTTCCAATACCTGGTATCGCTCCATGAACAAACTCCAATCCTAAACTTTGTGAGCTTCAAATGGGAACTACCAAAGTTTACAAACATATCCTCATGGAAAGGCAGAGAAAGATGAAAAAAACGGGGACGATACCTTAATCGTTACAGCTGAAGGTAATTGGAATTGAACACATGGGTGGGTAATGCTTTTACTTCCGGTGGAGATTACACACATATAGTTAAAGACACAAACAGATGAAGAAGAACTTTTATTTAACGATTCAATCGATCGATGAAACAGAGCAATAATCGGAAGGGAAAGAAGTTAATCGAGTAGAGTTGTCGCACCGACAATCAGGAAGGAAGTGGAGCAGGTACCTGGTTCTTCTCCACCTGTGTCAACGTCACGGGTTTGAACCGGGATCGGAACAAATAGAAAGAGAAAAAAAGCGGTGGGAACAGCAAGTGGAAACGGAATAATGGCGGTGGGGGATTGAGATACTGAAGGGATATACGTGTGGCTTCAGTTGACTGAATCGGTGCTCTACACCAGTTTCGTCTGTTTTTTTTTATTGGAAGCCGGCATTGGAGCAATCCGAAGGGAACGCATTGGGAAAATGGAGTAGATAGAAAAAGGATCAGATGGAAATCGGAGTAAGAAGGAAGGAGGTGGAATATTGGAAGATGAATAGGCAGCGTTTGATTGGAAGATGAGGCGGTGAGTCGATGGGAGGAGCACAGCGTGTCCAAAATGGGAAAATCCATAGCATAGGAAAAGAAAACGTGGAAAGTAAATGGAACACGCATTGACTTGGGAAGAGACCAGAGACTATCATGGAAGACAACCGACATACACACAATTGGAAGGGTAACAGTTTCAAGGAACGAAAAATATACTCAATGCCAAAAACATAGCAGTATGGAAAGTAAATGGACCAAATTGTCAATTTGAAAAATTAAGGGCAAAGTTGACAAAAAAAAAAACCAAGTTTCCTGTTGCTAACTTAGGACATTTTTAATATATATATATATATATATATATATATATATATATATATTAATTCAAAGTTAAATCTATAATTCTACCATCAATAAGGGTAAAACGTAAAAGGAGAAAATAAATTCTAAGGTTGTTGGTCATTTACGGTTCACAAAATAGTACAAGAATGGGATTATTCTCAATTGATTGTTGGGTAAAGAGGCCAAGTCAACCAGTAAATGGGTAAATATAATAAAAATTGGATTAAAATATGGCAATTTTCATTGAGTGGTAGAATCAGATCGGATATCAATCTTACGATCCCGATCCCAATCCTACGATCTTGTCTACGATTTTATATATAAAACTATCCTAAAGCGATCCGACAAGGTTTTTATAAGTATGATCGCAGGATCTTACGATCATACGATCAAGATCAGGATCTTGACAACCTTAATTGAAGGCCTTCCAAAATATATTTAAATAATTAATTTTAATAAATTCAAACAATAATATCAAAAGAAAAAACATATATATATATATATATATATATATATATATATATATATATATATATATATATATATATATATATATTGTCTGTGTTATGAGAGAGAGAGAGAGAGAGATCACTGGTTTACACAACCTATGAATTCTCCCTTGTAGAAGTAGGGCTGTTCAGTATTTGGATAAAATCGAATTGTCCAATTGGACAATATGGATTGGACTATTTGGTTCGGATATTCGGATTGGTTTTCGACAAAATCGAATTATTATTTTGAATTTCGGATTGGTTATGGTTTATAAAATAAAACCGAATAGTCCAAAAAAACCGAATAATAGTTTATTATTTATTTATTTTTAATATATATCTATAATTATTTATTAAATTTGCAATTTATTTTTAGAAATAGGTTCAAAAAGTTTCACCTAATAAAAAATATTAATATGCATTTTATCTCAAAAGGTTTTTATCTATAAAATATTAAAATATAATATACCTTCTTAATAGTTGTTTATAAATTTTAAATCGTAACTAAATAATTTGTTTTTTTCTTCTTGTGTAAAATTCGGTAATATTAGAATTATATGTCGTTTTAAAATTTTTTTGTTTTTAAAAATCGAATTATAAAAACCGATCCAACCGAATTGTAATTGGATCGGATCGGATTTGAATTTAGTTTGGATTATTCGGATCCATGTTTTGAAAACCGAAATCAATTTAGTTTCACGTTATTGGATTGGATCAAAACTGATCCATCCAAACGAACACCACTATGTAGAAGTACCTCACATGCTTGGATTCGTCATGCCGCCGGTACAACTAAGAACACCTCCAAACTTTGTCTGAAGCCACTCGACTCCGTCTACCGTGAGAAAGTAGAAACCATTTTTAATGTTATACTAACTTATTTATTTTTTTAATGTTGTGAATAGTAATATATGAAATCTAGTCTCTTATTATTTACTAGTTTATAACCCGTGAGAACCACGGTTATAAAATTAATTAAACTTTCATAATAAAAACTTAAAATCATTAATCAATTATTTTAAATAAATTATTAATTAAGAGATATTTTTTAGTTATATAAAATTAAAAGCGTTAATTTAAATAAGTACGAGACTTTATAATTTGTATTAATTTTATTTTATTTTTATTCTAATGTTATTTAATTTAATGTAATTAAAGTTAAAATTTTAAAATTTTAAATGGAGAATTAATAGGTTGCCATGTGACATGACATTAATTAGGCTAGAGGGTGTGGCTGCGGCCTGGGACCGCGGTTTGTGCCACCTGGACCGCGCACACCCCCCCAGACTGCGGTCTTGTGCGGTTTTGGCCGCACTGCGGCTGTAGAGTACCGTGGTCTGTGATTGGTTGGTGGTATATTTGACCGTTGAATGCTTTTACGTTTTTTTTCCTATATATATATATATATATATATATATATATATATATATATATATATATATATATATATATATATATATATATATATATAGGCTTAGGTTATTTTGTTTAAAGTAATTATTGTGTTATTGTATTCATAAATATGGGCCAATCAAATTTACTTATTTTAAGAAAGTGATTAATATATATTATTGAATTAAATATAATTGAAAAAATCATCTTAATTAATTACAAGGGTAATTTAGTCAATTAATATAGATTTAAGAAAGGAAAATTGCATTTTTTAAGGGATCATAAATTCTATTATTTTTAAAAATCCGATTTTACGAATTATAATTCTTTTAATTCGGACATTCTGACAGAATATGTTTATGAGTATATTCAAAAATAAAAATATTCTTGAATCATAAATAATAAAAATATTCTTGAACCTATTTCTTTATCATGAATTTAAAAACTTCTAGTAGAATAACAAATTGTTGAACAATCAATTGAAGAATAAAAACAACAAATACATTATTTCTTATAGAATACGGGTAACAATTGTCAATAATTACATCAAAATCTAACAACGACTAATACATTCTAAAAGAATAATGTGGTCCGTTTCAATTTTGTGGTCCGTTCTTCAAGCATCAACTTCTGTGATTCCAATAGAATTGGAATTCGTCATTCCATTCCAACAGAATTGGAATTCTTGATTCCGTTTCAATTTTGTGGTCCGTTCTTCAAGCATCAACTTCTGTGATTCCAACAGAATTGGAATTCGTCATTACATTCCAACTTCTGATATTGTTTTGCTACAATCCTCCTCAGCTTGTTGAAAGCTATGATATAAACCTAACCATCATCAATTCATTAACAAAATTAATAACAATTTTATATATAAAAATAAATTAAATTCAAAGTAAAAAAAAAAATATCATCCTAATTCTAAATACGCAGCTGCTCTGTTACAGTAAAAAGTAGCATTGGATTCATCCAACTTAATAGCTTCAGTGTAATAGCTCACAGCTTTATTCCATTGTCTTCCTTTATATGCAACATTTCCCTAAAACCACAAACAAAATTAGTTCTTTAATGGAGTAAAAGGGTAAAATGGTAAAATGGTAAAAACCTTCTCCTTCAACAATTCAGAAGCATCCATATTCCCATAAAAATTTGGGAAGGAACTTACAACCAGATAACTTTTCACTTACTTTGCTAACAATATATACAGTTTTCTGTTGAGGAGCTTTAGATAACTGGAATAAATCATCAGCCACAATTATGCGCCTTGTTCTTCTAGGCTCCACTGGGTTCAATCTAAGAAGAACATGCCCAACACGATGCAAAACAGAAGGATCACGAGCAAAAATTCCTGAAAGATTTTCATCATCAAACACATGAAATATAAAGAAACAGCAATAAAACTGAAGACTTCTACTGACATATAGTTTGACAAAAACCAAAAGACTACATGAAAAAACATAGGACATACCAAGACTACAACATACCAACAGTGTCTAAACTCTGTGAATTAGGGAGAACCCCAATTGTGGATACAACTCCATGTGAAGGCCGGAATCCAAGGATGCCACAAAATGAAGCTGGGATTCTTACTCCTCCAATTGTATCAGTACCTTAGAATTTAACAAGAGACATATGGAAAAGTTAACAGAAGGCATAGAAGTGAACACCGGTATGTTCAGTCCCACCATGTGTTGCATAACGTAATTCCTAAATTAAATTACACCAATCATCTTAATCCATTAAATGATAAAGATAAAAGACAATGTTGGTTTAAAGGATTAATTTAGAGACACAAACCCGAAAGGATCTTCAGCCAGATGAACTGAATTGGCCATAATCTCAGCGACTAATCGTGTTCTAAGTTCTCCACGAGAGTGTTCTACACATGCTTGAAGCACATAACATCCACTTCTATCTGTTGCTACTTTATAGCACTCATTTGCTATCTCAGTAAGAATCGGC